CCCACCCATATTCCAAGTTTGGTTCATTGGGTTGGTTAGATCTATTCACTTCTACCCAATGGCTGGTTGTTGTTGTTTTTAAATCTAGGTCTGAAAAAAGGACTTGAATGCAAGTGGGAAGTGCATTACTAAAAGCCTGAATGTTACTTCCAGGGCCTGAGTCAAACCTTGTGAAGTGTTTGAACTGGTTTGCAAACTTGTGGAAACAATTGTTCCATAAGCCTCAAGGGAATAGCATTCACTTGGTGTTCTACACATTACCATTCTACTGTAAAGGGGACTTCCAGCAGGTGTCAGGAATTAAGGTGCACATTTCATAGCCTCTCCCATCTATGGTCAACCTAACATTCATTTTTTAAAAAAGTGGCATTATTAAAAAGTACCTCCATGCATTTAAAAAAAGTTTCACCCGATGTCACTTCATGTAGAATGAAGCTCATCTTTAGGCATATTTTATTCTTGACCAAAGGTTATGGATCCCGAATTCAATAGCTATGGGGAACAATTTCCAAACCTACTTTTCTCCCAGAAAATTAAAGCTCAAGTATTTTTACCTTTTGTATCCAGTGCAATATATCACAAATATGCACTATATACATGCCCTAAGTCTCTTTTTCTCTCCCTCCCTCCCTCTCCCCTCCCCCCTTCTCTGTGGTACAGTTTTACTTTTATATAAAAATTAGAAGAAATTATTATGCAAATGCAACTCTCCTAAAATATATCTAGGATTTGTAGCACACTAACCTACAATTGAATGAAATGGTATCACAGAAGCAGCAGCAGGCATAAAGTGTGTGTGAGAATCAGCAAGACTGAACATTGTGAGTCAAATTCTGTTCTTTTTGAATGTGCATGTACAAAAGGTGTGGGGTTTGCAGGACTCCATCTGCCATCTTGCCAATGTGCAGTTCGCCTCATGGACACTGCTGGCCAGAAGATATTTCAGTAGCATTTTTGGAATAATATCAGATTTCCATCAGGAAGCATTGCTTGATTACTTTTCTGCTCAGAAAGACATTAAAAATTATTTGGCTCCTCCCTGGACCATCTCTCTCTCCCTCTCTCCCCCCCCCCCCCCCCCCCCCCCCACCTTTCCCCCTCCCTCCCCCCTCTCTTCCTTCCTCCTCCCTCCAAAGAACATATACCCCTTGGTTTTAAAATTCAGTTGTAGGAGTTGGGTGTCAGGCTAACAAAAAAAGCAAGGACCTTAGAAACTCTGAAGTCAGCCATGGCACACAGGCACACACCCATGGCACACAAGGCAAAAAGAGCCATATTGCATTGTTTCCATAGAATTAATGCACATCAGCTAAATTATTACAACAGGAGTCCCATTGTCAACTGGTGCCAGCAATTTTCGAGGCTTGAAAAGCTACTTTAAATATTGAAAGAGGAAAGAAAGATCACTAGCTGGAGGAAAAGTTCTCTGATTTCTACCTAACTTGCACAGATAATGCAGGCAACCTTGAATCCCAGGTTCAGAGTCTGTGTTAAGCAGCAAACCTTTAATATACTTGGCGATAAAGTCGCAGGCTGCTAACTGCGTGTTTCGTTTCCCCGAGTCTTTCATTAAATATTTCGTGCTGGGATGGAAATTTGGCAGCGCGGTCTCTATTTGAGGCAAAAGGTTGAAACTTTAGGTATGTGTGTGTGAACGCCGATCAGGGAGAGAAGTGAATCTTTTGTGCATGCGAGAGAGTGAACAGCGAGGGAGCGGGAGGATTTTTTTTTTTTATCCGTCTGCTGGCCTCGTGAGGGTCGAGGATCTTCCAAAAAAGGGTGCCTCCAATTCCAGATGTTCCTGCAGGAGCAAAGACTCTAGATCGGCAGCATCCAGCTTCGACTGAACTGCCGCTCCTCCACCGCCTATTTTAGCCTCTTGTCAGCCAATTTCTCCACTTGAGCCGCAAAACACAACAGAATGACAGAAGTTGGAAGGGACCTTGAGGTCTTCAAGTCCAACCTCACTGCTCAAACTGGAGACTCTGGCCTATCCCATTCCAGACAAATATTGTCCAGTCTCCTTTTGAAGCTCCAGAATGTTTCAGCCCTGGGTCAGAAAGAAAGGCCGGCTTGAGTAGGGTGCGGGGGTGGAGATACTTTGCCATAAAGCAAAGGCGTGGCTTTTCTTCTTTGCTAGGATGAGGGACAGAGGCCACACTTTTTCCCACCTGGCTTTTGTGAGGGGATCTTCTCTACCTCGTCCATTTGAGATTGGTGTTAATGAGGAAATCTCCAGGCCAAGCCTGATCCTGCCCTGTTGGGCCACTCCGGCTCCGCCTCCCCCCTCCCCACAGCTCCTCCCCCTCCCTTTCGCAAGTGCACGAGTGCCGGGGCCGCCCCTTCTCGCTCCTTCCCCCCTCCCCCCTCCCCCTCCCGCCCACACCGCTCCCCGCCCCGTCCGTCGCGAGAGCTGCCATCCCGCCAGTGGATGTCGTTTTCTCTTCCCCCGCGCGAGCCCACGGGGTGTCACTCCTCCGGGATGACCTCAACTTCGGCCCGAGTTTGCCGCCTCACACGCTCCCGACATCCGCGGAGCCTGGCCGCTCGCTGGGACCGCACGATGGGCACCGATCGAGACCCCTGAGAGTCTCCAGCTCGCCTGGAGCTGCGGCTGTCCGCGCCACCGCCGAGGAAGCGAGCGACCAGCTGCAGCCAAGGTACCTCGGGAAGGAGCCCGAGAGGCAGGCCGGAGGGTGGGAGGGAGCTGTCCCGCAGGCAGCAGCCGGGGGAAGAGAGCGGGGCGGGTAACTCCTTTGCTCTCGGGGGCAGCTAAGGGCGGGCTCCGGGGTGTGAAGGCCAGCTGATCGCTACCTGAAGAAAGCGAGTGTCTGGCTGCCCAACCGAGGCAGGACCGACGCTTCCGGGCAAAAGACGGACGAGAACTTCTCGCCGCCTCCCAATTTGGCCGCCGCATCTCTCGCCGCGCGGGCTCTTTCTCCGGCTGAGGCCGAAGAAGCAACAAGAGGACCACCAAACGGTCCCGCTGGGAACGGCTCCCCGCGGACAGTCCCGCAAATGTCTCCAGGTTGGGCGCGCAGGGAGTTCTTTCGAAGCGTTCCAGGGTTCTCCTGCTCGGGTCTGCCCTTGCCCCACGTTCATTGGGGAAACCAAACCCATTCCCAAACGGGCTTTGGACCGGCGCTTGTTTGACTAGTGGGGTTCAGGAGTCTGGGCTGAACGGATTGTGCGGGGCAGGGGGCGGCGGCTGAGATTTAACTTCCCCGCCCCGTCCTTGCCTTTCTTCCGTCGGTGATAGATCTGGGTGGCAGGTACGGTAATCGCCGCTTCACCAGCCCGACCTTTGCATTCTTTGACTGCTTGCACCACCCCGGGACCAATTCCCAGCAGAAGGCTTTGTGCTTGCTCAGGCTGCGACCTTAAGGCCATTTCTTTGCGAAGGGGAGCACCAAGAAAGCCTTCTGGAGAAAGAGAAACGGCTTTCTCTCGTGCAGTGCAATATTCCAAGCCGCTGCGCTGGGAAAATGTTCCGATTACTCAAGATGAGGGAGTTTCCTCCAGCGCGCTGAGACTTTAGATGTTAACCGCTATTGGTCTGACATGTTTTAACCACTACTTGGTTTACAAGTAGTGTTAAGTCCTGGGCTACCCAAATCACATTTTGACTTTAGCGAGATAGGCGAACCCACGAGGCTCGCTGATACTTGGTTAATGGAACCTTGCTTCGCCTGGGTAGTTGCGACACACCGAAGCTCTGCGTTGTCCCACCCTCGCCCCTCCGCCAGGCTTAAATGTGACATTTGTGGTTGGGTGTATAGGCAAAGAGAACTCCCAACTCCGGCTGCGCAGGTTCCTCCATTGCTGTGATGTTGGGGGTCAGTCGGTCCTCACTGAAACAGGGGACTCGATTTCAAAAGCAAGCTTTTCGGGGCAACGTTCTCGGAAAGTGAAGGTAAAAAGAAAAGAGACCCCACGACCCTCCCATAAGCATTAGTTGGGTCTAAGCCCAAGGCTGCCGGACAAGCTAAGAGCCAAGGCCCTTGAAGTCCTCCAGATGGTATTTTCGAGCCAGTAGAAGCGAAAGCCTGTCTGTTGGCGCCATTCGATCTTTATCTCCCTGACAGGGATTTATTTCATAACTACAATTTCGCCCGTGGAAATCTAAACCGATTGCGCGAAGGAAAAGCTTGAGGGAATGGATGCGCTTTACCTGGCGCCCTGGGGAGATTTCCGCGCAGGGCGAGGGGGTTCATATCCCCCCCCCGAAAGTCAGGTGTTGTCCTACTTTTCTCATTCTTCTTCTTCCAAGTTGACCCGTGGACAATAGATCTCCAGTGGGCAAAAATTGCTGCTGGGTCTCCTTTGGAATCCTTCAAAGGTCCCCTCCGCTTTAATTTATGTGTGTGTTTATGACCCTCTGGTAGCAATAGCGACTCTGAAATGTGAGGAGATTCCAAGTCGTTGCCCTGAACTCCTGGGCTAGGTTCCCCCTGAACCCCAATACAGATTGGGTCTAGTTTGTGCGAACCCATCCAAGCCTGGCTTCGCAAATGGCACAACTAGGGTCGGAATCCCTCTGGGATGCGAGGCAGGCTGACGCTGACTTGGCACGAGGGGGGAACGGGGGCGGGGGAGGTGGGCCGACTTAGCAGAGAGAGAGCCCCTTGTGACTGGGCCCTACTACCTTCCCAAAGCGGCCTTTTCAACTGAGGCGGACTGCGGCATCTGTCACTCAAGCTGCTCCCCGACTCTCTGGGCCACTCTAGCTCTGAGGCTCCTTTTCCGCTCGCGCGCAGGGTTACACCCTCTTTCTCCCCCGGACGAGCCCCAGCAGTCCTCCCCTTAGGGCTCAGCGGGCGCTGGGACAGCCGGGGAGGTCTGCGCCCCCAAACCCGCGGTTCTCCTCGCCGGTCCGAGTCCAGGCGCCAAGGCCGGGAGTGGGTGGGTGAGTGCAGCGCTCCGGGAGCTGACCCGCGCTCTCTCCTTTCTCTCCACAGGCTCCCTTCCCTCAGCGCCCACCAGGCAGGCAGGCAGGCAGGATGTCCCCGGCAGGCTGGGAGGCCCTGGTGGCCCTGGCGGCGGTGGCTTGCCTGGCCGAGGGGGTGCGCGGCGGCTACGGCTTGAACATGTTCGCCGTGCAGACGGCCCCGCAGCCGGATCCCTGCTACGACGAAAACGGGCAGCCGCGGCGCTGCATCCCGGACTTCGTCAACGCCGCCTTCGGCAAGGAGGTCAAAGTGTCGAGCACCTGCGGCCGCCCCCAGTCGCGCTACTGCGTGCTGGCCGAGAAGGGCGAGGAGCGGAGCCGCAGCTGCCACCTGTGCGACGCCGCCGACCCCAAGCGCGCCCACCCGGCCTCCTACCTGACCGACCTCAACAACCCGCACAACCTGACCTGCTGGCAGTCCGAGAGCTTCGTGCAGCACCCGCTCAACGTGACGCTGGTGCTGGCGCTGGGCAAGAAGTTCGAGGTGACCTACGTCAGCCTGCAGTTCTGCTCGCCGCGGCCGGAGTCCATGGCCATCGCCAAGTCCATGGACGGCGGCAAGAGCTGGGTGCCCTTCCAGTTTTACTCCACGCAGTGCCGCAAGATGTACAACAAGCCCAGCCGCGCCGCCATCACCAAGCAGAACGAGCAGGAGGCCATCTGCACCGACTCGCACACCGACATGCGGCCCCTCAGCGGGGGGCTCATCGCCTTCAGCACCCTCGACGGCAGGCCCTCGGCTCACGACTTCGACAACTCGCCCGTCCTGCAGGACTGGGTCACGGCCACCGACATCAAGGTGGTCTTCAGCCGCCTCCACACCTTCGGCGACGAGAACGAGGACGACTCCGAGCTGGCCCGCGACTCCTACTACTACGCCGTCTCCGACCTCCAGGTGGGCGGCCGCTGCAAGTGCAACGGGCACGCCTCCCGCTGCGTCCGCGACCGCGACGACCACCTGGTCTGCGACTGCAAGCACAACACCGCCGGGCCCGAGTGCGACCGCTGCAAGCCTTTCCACTACGACAGACCTTGGCAGAGGGCCACCGCTCGCGAAGCCAACGAGTGCGTCGGTGAGTTTGACGCGGCCCGGCCGCCCCCTTTCGCTGCCCTTTCGGGTCCCGGACCTCGCGCCCCACAACCCGCCTTTGCTGGCGGACCGGATCTTCTCCGCGAGGGAAGGGGGGTGGTGGCGGGGGCGGTCTCGGGTCTCGCCCGATCGCCTAGCTCTGTCGACTGAACACCCCGGCTGCAGGTTTCAGGGAAGGCGGCCGGTTGGCAGTCTTGGGTGAGGACTTGGCCAAAAGGTCAGGGGAAGGTTTGTCCTGCAGGGCTGCGGTCCCCGTCTCAGCGAGGTTTCTTTTGATTTAGGTTGTGTGTGTGTGTGTGTGTGTTTGCACGCACTTGCCATTTCTTTCTTTTGTTTAGAATTATGTCTTAGGTTTAAGATCATAATCCTTGTTCAAGATTTGGGCTTCAGCCCTAGGCTATTTTAGCACCGATCTGAACGGGAGCCTTCAAAGCAAGTCCTGCCCAGGGCCAGCGTACGTCTTAACAGCATTATGGGCCCCCGGGCAAAACAGTGAACTAGGGCCCCTACGACAACTACTCACAGGAATAAAAATGTAAATGGTCGATAAAATTAAATATACATTTGCATGTTAGTATTAATTTAAAAACGCAGTAAAATGCAATAAATATGTTATTCCTTATATGATACAAGGTGCATTGAAGGGTTAACATACACAGGTTAGTATGGCAAGTGCCCACACCAGGCTCATGCCTTAAGACAGCCCTGCCCAAGGCTAAGCTTGATACAGTCCAGCGTGGGCCCTCTGTGCTTTAATAGGGCTGCCGTGTCACTAGAAAGTGGAACGCGCTTGGCACGTGCCCAGAGGGACTCCCCAGCCCTCGGGGCAGAACCCTGCCTGCCATAAAGGGGGCCCGATTTGAAGGCGTTCGCCTTTTCGCTGCCCCGGAGTTTCTCCATAGATTTTTGGGAAAGCTGACCGTTGAGTCCTCCAAACGTAAGCCAAGTGGGCAAAACGTCCCCAAGAGCTAGGCCGGGTTAGAGGGCACAAACCGATTAAAATTAGTAAGAAAGCAGGTGGGTGTAATTTAACAGGAGGAAGGCGAGGAGTGAGACATTTATAAACATATCACCCCCTCCTAAAAAAAGCGAATAGTGTTTTCCCGCTTCTCTGGATCCTGAGCGATCCGGCAAAGTAGGCAGAGTTTACTTCGAATTGGGTTTGAATTGGAAGGCGCAACGGAGCAGAAACCGCTCGCCTGCAAGAGCGGTCCAATGCCTCAAATCTTTCTTTCTTTCTTTCTTTCTTTCTTTCTTTCTTTCTTTCTTTCTCTCTCTCTTTCTTTCTTTCTTTCTCTCTTTCTTTCTCTCTTTCTCTCTTTCTCTCTTTCTCTCTTTCCTTCCTTCCTTCCTTCCTTCCTTCCTTCCTTCCTCCCTCCCTTCTCTTTTGGATGCGGAGGGGAGGAGATTATGCGCCCGGAAGCTAATTCCGCTCGGTACTGTATTATTTAGGGGAGGGGTTTTGTTCTTGAGGGACCTGGAATGCGTCGCACTCTACCCGCAGATGCTGCTTGCGATGCTGATGATTTGAGTCGGGGAAATGGGGAAAACCCACTATTGATCTTGAGGGTCCTTGGTCTTTGCTAAGGGAAAGGCACGCAACTGGCGATGACAAGAGAGAAGGGCAGATCTGAGGAGTTTTCAAGGAGATTCCAGAACTGGTCAGGATCAAAGCAAATAGGAATTGTAGGATCGGTGTTACCTTGTTGGGTAATGAAACATCTGCAAGCAGACAATTAAACTCAGAGAGCTCGCTAATCATCCCATTTACCAGCAAATATGTAGTGCGAATGGGGAATATTTAAACTTGTGGTGTACTTTACCTTAAAAATCTACAAAAGTGCTAGAAAGAGGAAATAAAAACACCCCAGCTGCTGTTTATTTTTAAAAAATTGTGGTAGTTTACTTCTTCACCATCTGTCAGTATCAAACCTGTGTGAATGTAGAAGATATTTTTACTTCAGTCTGCATAGTATTAAAAAAAAGTCATACATTCCAACAGTATTTCGTTCCAAACTGTGAATAACAATGTTTGTGGAATATCCAAATAATTCTGATTGGAAGGATACCTTGGGAATTTCCCCATAAATGTCTAAAACTTTGCAACTTACTTATCATCCAGCTGAAAGTAAGTTCTACTGAAACTGATGTTGTCTTTTCTGAAAATAAGTAATAATGCAATCTTAAGGATATTAAAAATTTAAGTGCTGTTACTGCTAGTACAATTCAGTCAAGAAGATATCACTAAAATATGTGTCAAACCAATAAATGTGCTTCCCTCCCTGTTCCCCATTTCTCTCTCTCTCTCTCTGTCTCTCTCTCATACACACAAACAAACATGAGAATATTCAATATTTGAGTTATAATTGCTTATAAAGTGACAAACTTTCCTAGAGAATAGTATTAAAGCACATTAATAGAAATACCAGTTTCTTCCTCTGTTTTGTATTGTAAAGATCACACAGAAGGAGAGAATAATCACAATTTGAATTGAATTATTCAATTCTTTCAATTTTCAGTTTTGGGAAATAGATTCTAAATCTAGATGCATAGGAGTTGTTTGGGTTTGCTGCCCCTTCCTTCCCCTCATTCATAGCTGTACATTTTCTGGACGTCCCATGTTCATGAGAGAGAAAGGAAGAACAACGGCCGTTTCTCTGCTAAGATGGTTTTGATGTATGAGGGCGCAGCACGGAAAGACATCCTGTTGTGGCTGCCTGTCTCTAATGAGTTGTTTGCAGTTGGAAGAGCTCATTTGCTGCCCTTGAATCTGCTGGATCCTAACTAACCCTGTCCTGATTTTATATAGTCAGGGTTTATCTGCCTCCTCCCTTGCAACACAACCAAGGCAGGATGCTAATCGTGTGTTCACATTGTCACAATTCTTTTTGATTTCTTGAATTGGAAAAATCACAGGAATATTCTGACTTCCTTGAAAGTTTTTTTTTTGTCTCTCCATTCTTTCCCCATATTTCGGCGATAGTAACAGTTGCAAGAAATCCAAATAAAGGTGCTTTTAATCCAGGTTTCTAAGCAGGACATGAGCACAGATGGTAACAATTCCTTTCTTATATATTGACCGCCAGTAGTACTGGCTGTGGGATGAAGATTGAGGGGATCCAAGCTTATTGAAGTTCAGTTAAATCAGCCCTTGTCTCTTTAGCCATCTATCTCCCAGGGTTTTGGTTATGGAAGTGAACAGGAGGAATAATGCAATGCATACTCGATGCAAATCAGGACATTAAACTAATAAGTAACCACACGTAGCTTTACTCCATAGACAAGCCTATTCTTCTTTCAAAACTTTCAGGGTGAGCGATACTTCATTTGATACTACATTCATTACTTCATTTGTAGTACAGTGAATACCATAGCTTAATTGTATGTTATGTGAAGGGAATATACACGTACACACTGTGTTCATTTTTCTTCCACTTGGAATAGATAAATTGACAGTGGGGGGGGAATCTAGGTGACAATATGCTGTGCTCCCTGTTTAATACTGTTGCATATTAACTGGAATTTGGGAAAAAGTAGAACGTTTAGTATCTAGATTTATTATATCCCATTTTAGAGTGGCATAGGGCCTTTTTCTATTGCTACCTTAAAGTCCCATCCACTCCTCTTTGCAGTGGCACAAAACTTGACTGATGCAAAATCGGTTGTCCCTGTTGCTAATCCCCATCCTGCCAAATGACATTGTCCTGATCCTGTGAGACGTCATTCATTTCCAGATAAGGCTTGTCTCTTCTGGATTGCCAGCCTTCCCTTTTCAGCACCCCATCAGCCAGGGAAGAAGGCATTCAGCACCAGGGTACTATGAGCAGAGCAGAGCCCTACATCCTACTTAGAAAATCGTTCAAGTTAAAATGAAGTGAAATAAACTAGCGTATAGGAAAACATTTCTGCAGAGTTTCTCAAATTGACTAGCTGCTAGACAGTCCTGTGGTGGTGTTTTTTTTTTTTTTTTTTTTGAAGGGGAGTATGATGGAATCTGACACTTATAAGGAAGTTGGAACATAAGTGTTAAAATTTCAGTTCAATGTTCTCCATTGTTTTCTAGAAACTGTAACAAAGCAAAATAAGTCTACTGTATGTTCAAGCACTGTTAATATGGAATTGCATAAATGCACCCCCTTTTCTTTCCCACAAACAAAACAGGAGTCCTCCTTGCTTCTGTTTTGTAGGAAGCTTACAAAGAAGTTGGTTTCAAAAATGTTTCAGTGTGCGTTGTGTGTGTGTCACATGCTCGTGTTCACCCAAAACGCGCCTCTGATCACAATGACTGTAGGTCAACTGACATTGTCCCCCAGATAATAAGTGGGAAAGTATCACACACTATATATCTTGAAGCTGTGATGTGAAAGTACCTTTACTCTTTATATTTTAAGCCCTTTTCACTTATGGGCCGGGGATGAGATGAAGACTATATTATATGATCAACTGGAGAGATGGAGGCCATCAAGGCATGATGGTGACACCATGAACTGCCGATAAGGACAGGATAATCTCTTTGATAGCCTTAATAATTGCCATGAAGGCATGACATCAAATGACAGAAAAAACAATAATAAAATATTTGTGGCAGTGAGAAGACAGGCTTCACTAGGTTGAAAGCACAGCTGGGTGAACTAAAGGAGGTTTCTCATTGAATTTTTGCCTGATACTTCAGAAAAATATTATTCAAGCCAAAAAAGAGATTAAACTAAGTCAGAAGAGAATGGTGCTGTCACTTTGCATAAGTCTTGCTCTAGATTTAGGACAAGGAAATAAAGTTAGTATCTTGAGCATATGTTATCTCTACTGACTTAATTTAGATTTTGATGCATTTTGATATTACTTGCAATGATTGAAAAACTCGGAGGACATTAAGTCAATGGCACCTCAAAAGTACAAATAATAACCTCTCAGATTATTTTCTCCTCCCTTAAGTTAATTGATCACTATGAATAAGCGTTGCATGTTTGGGGGCCCTCAGAAAAG